TGAGGAATCGAACCCAGGGCATCATGCATGCAAGGCAAGCGCTCTACCACTGAGCCACCTTCCCAGCCCCTTTTTTGCAAGAATTTAAAAACATTCTAGTTTTATTGTTCTTACATTTCACACAATTTTTTTTATTGTAACAGTACTGAAAGCATGATACTTAAGGATTTAATGTTCACAGCAGAAGCCTCGGGTAGCCCTGTCCCCCTTGGGGTGGCCCAAAGTCGGACAAGGAGGGGTGAGCTGACACCACACTGCAGCCTCACAGCAGAGCCCATCTACTCTTTGGCACTGCACTTATCTAAGGTGGGTGGTGATGACTTCTCACCCATTTTATAGAAGAAAAGACTGAGGCAGAGGGCCCAGGATATCCCCCAGTATTTCTGCCCCCCCCTCCCCCAAGCTGCCTTCAGGGGCCTCTTGTGATGCCAACCAACTATCACCACTCAGTCCCTAACTCCACCACCCAAGAAGATGAGCCACCCACGTGGGACTCAGGAACAGCAGAAAAAGGATATAGGCAGGACCTGGAGTTCCTTGATCTTCCTGATAACTAGGGCCAGGGAAGTCCACCACTCCTCTGCCCTCCCTGGCTCAGGATGAACCCTCTAACCCTCCCTATCCCAACAGACAGGAGATGGGACATTTGCCCCTCAGGGGCCAAGGAGCTCTGAAACCAGATGTTGGACCAGATCAGCTACATCCGGGGACTTGTGTCCATACAAGCAGGCATATCCTGGTACCTGTGAGCAGGGGGCTCTGGGGCCCCACCCTCCCTGCCTTGCAGCCAGGGGCTCCTCACTGTCTCTTTCCTCTGGGTTTAATGTTCAAAAGCCTTTCTCAGTAGCTGCTGAATTAATGAACTCATTCCCAAAAAGTTGTCTTCTCCATCGTCTTGTTTTGTGTTGCCAGAGAAACAGGATGGCTGGGTAAATTTAAATTCCAGACAAACATTTTAAATAAATTTTCAATGTGAATATGCTTATACTTAATTTTTTCATTTTTCTTTGAAATTCAAATTTAACGGCTAAATCTAGCTGGCCAGCCTGCTCCCTTATTGTCCTTGGAGGTTAGCCCCTGGGATGTTAACGGGGACCCCAATAGGCTTCCAACCACCCCACCTCCAGCGCTCCCAGCGCTCCTTACCCATAACCTCCAGCCCAAGCAAAGGAACATCAGAAAGGTCTACGGCTGGAATCAGGAGGAGCGCTGCGGGGAGGGAGGGAGCGGGACGGGGAGGGAGGAGCTGCGACCCGGGAAGGGGAGGGGAGGAAAGGGGACAGAGAGGAAGAGAGAAGACAGCGAAGCCCAGGGTCCGGGAAGAGCAGGCGCAGCCTCCGCGCATGCGCGGCCGGCCTGCACTGCCAGGCTGCATCTCCATTAACCCAGTTCCGCGGATTCCAAGGCCAGCCCAGCTGATCCCCTTGGGTAGGGGTCGTTCTGGGCTGTGGGTCGCGAGGCCACAGGAAGGCGCACTGCTAGGTGTGGCGAGCTAGTGCTGGCGCGGACAGGCCTCAGGCAGGAGCGCAGATCCCCGCCTTTTCCCCCGAATTCGCCCCCCTCCCCAGCAAGGAAGTCATGGGAGACTTGGGGAGGCCAGGTGCCCAGAAGGGCAATGGCCAGGGCCTGTGTGTGGAGGGAAGCCTCAGAAGTCGGCCAGATTTCCTCACCTGTTGTTAGGTGCTGGGTGATGGACACTCCATTCTGGGATGTCTGCTTCACCTGCCACCCCCACCTACTTATGAGTTGCTCACTGGACCCAACTTCAGTCAGCCCCAGTTTGGTGAACCCCAGAGACCACCCTCACTGCCAGCTGGGAGGCTCGGGTCTCAGCCTCTGTGGGCCCATTGCTGACCTTGAGGATGGAAGAGGAGCAGCAGGGTGGCCCCATAAGGGCACATACAAGTCCCTGCTTCAGAGTGGAGAGGTGGTCCAGTGAAGCCCCCCCTCACCATCCCTGTGATCCCCCATATGCGGTGCCTCACCAGGGGTCACCTCTGCATTTGCCTCCTGAGCAGCTGCATTAGGAGTGAGCATGTGCAGGCTCACCTCCACGAAGGGCATCAAGGAGACACAAGGAACCACCCAGGAGCAGCTATGTAATATGAGCGGTGGGGCAGGGCGGGGCAGGGAGGGGCAATAACAAAAAAATGTTTCTAAGATTTCTGTACCTAATAATCTCTTTACCCCCCCCCCAATTAATTTTCCTCTAACTGCTTTTGTTAACAGTAGTTCAATAATCTCTAATTATTTAGCACATTCACAGACTTTGAATGTTTCACAATTCTCTATTTAATTAAGTATTAAAATTTAAAAATCCAACTGTTCGAGCTTATGGCATAGTGAGTGTGATTCTGAGTACTGTCAGTTATTGGGTGGCTGTGGCTTTGGTGTATCCAGTGCCAGTCTCCTCTCTACAGCTGAGCCTAGTGAGCTCCCTCTTGCCCCAGATGCAGTGGGTGAGAGATATTGTACCCCACAGTCATGGGGATGCCAGAGATGCTGGAAGAAATGAGGTGAGGTCCTCATGTTGGTTCTGGTGTAAACATGAGATGGGGTACAGGCATCTAGAACTTTCCTTCGTTATTTTTCTGAGACTCTATCCCCACATTCCCTCTTTAAGGGCATTATAGGAGGGAGAACACAGAACCGAACAGGCAGAGAGTTTGGGGCTCTGCGATGGAGTGGAGTTCCTAGGTTCTGGGATGGGAGTTGGGGAGGCCTCCAGGTGAGCTGGCTGTGTCAGTGGAGAAACATCCCAAGGTCTAAATTGCTGCACAAAGGGCCTGGAGTCTGCAGGTGCCACCAGAATGCTACAGAGTTGTCCACACAAGGCCCGCTGAAGCAGGGACTCACCACTGTCAAGAAAGGGGGACAGCAAGGCGGAGAATGGGGCCACTCAAGCCACTGCACATACTTTTGTGTAGTTTTAGCCCTATTATATATGACTGGGGAAACTGAGGTTTAAGTCATAACATGATAGCCAAAGCTAGTGCCAGGCATCCACCCAGAGGTACCCCTCCATGAAGCTCTGACAACCAGAACCCAGAAACCTGAACCAGTAACAGTGCTGCATGATTTACAATATCCAGGAACCACTGCTGGGTTTAGGTGAGACAGTGTATGTGATTGTCTTTAGAACCCTGTGGTACCAAAGCACTTACAAACAGGTCAGAGGATGGGCTGAGGTCTAGGGCACAAGTGAGGACTGGCCAACAGCTGAAATAGACTGAAGTTTTTTGTGTCATTTTTCTCTACATTTAAGAATGTTTGAAAAAGTTAAACATGAACACATGCACACATACCCTGTCACAGCCTTGTACACACAGGAGCACGCATGTGCGCACGCGTGCGCGCGCGCGCGCGCGCGCGCGCGCACACACACACACACACACACACACACACACACACGCACACAGAGGCATGCACACACAGCCTAAGGCTGCTTCTCCTCACAGAGCTTCTCCCCACAGTAGAGTTCTGTGAGTGGTGAGGTCGATTCACAGCCTGGGAACTAGCCTTGCACCAGCCATGGATTCATCCCAGGTCACTCAAAGCCCCAGGCACTGGATCACACCCTTGTCAGAAAGCCAGGCCTGAGAGAGGCCAGCAGAGCCCACCACAGGCTCAGAGTCGACATCTAGCCCGTGAAGGGTCTCAGAAGAGGGGATATCCAGGATCCTACCCCTAAAAGCATCTCTCTGCCTCATCCGAAGGCTAGTAGAAAGCTGTGGTTTGCACTTGCCTGGCTTCATTCCCTGCCCAGGCCTTTGCACAGCATCACCCTCCCTGGTCCTGCTGAACCAGGAACTCACACAGAGACTGACCAGCCCTGGAAACCACTTAGCACCAGGGTAGAAGTTGGGACAGGAGCGCCCTAGGTTCTGGAGGATCCCCTGCCTGGGTTCAGGGAATGTTCCCAAGAGGAAGAAATACTTGGTGGGGGGTTGCTGGTCTGGTACACAGCAGGAACTCAAATTCATTGCAGGCCAGCTGTGTGAGCCCCCTGGACTGGTCACAGGGCTGTGAACAGTAGCTCTTGCAGACCTCACCCCCCATACACACTTGCCAACTGGAGAAGGTTCCACTGTTGCTCACACTCAACATCTGGCCTTGTCAGGAAGAATTAGATCCTTGGCTCCCAACTAGCTTGGATTTGTGTGTGGATGCTCATTAGGGCCACTAGCCAGGTCCTAGGAGGGGTGGGAGGAGGGTGGGTGTGGGAGGAGAGAGGTGAGGTGGCAATGTCATCTTGAGGCACCCACTCCCTGCCTTCACAGCCCTGTCAGGCCCCCATCCCAGCCCCCTTGGGGACTCTTCCCACACCTAGCTCACTCATATCTGTGTCTCATCCTCATGGAACTCACTGAAGACTGACTCTGGTTTCTGGCAGGATGTGCCCCTGACCCTGGGAGGGTGGATCTGTCTGCTCAGCCCCAACAGGGCTCAGGATACCTGCAAGGCCAGCACCACACAGACCCTGCCACACACCCCTGTGAGTCCACAGGGGCCTCCTTAGGCCCTCTCACTGCCTAGAAGACTCAGTTACAAAGCTGTCCATTACCCCCGCCCCCTAGTGCCCAGTGCCAGGACTCTATCAGAGGGAAGACACCAAGAGCAGCCCTGCAATTTCCCTGAGGCTCTGAGTCAGTAATTACCCTTGGCCTTCTTGGGGAGAGGGGCCCCTCTACTTTACTACAGTCAATACCTATCCTCCTAGCTTTGGGGCAGAGACTTGGGAAGGGGAAGCCAAGCTGAGGCTCCAAGAATCCTAACCAGACAGTGAAGGTCATCCTGGGTCTGAAGGTAAGGGCCCCCATGCCCCTCAGAAACTCCCAGAGACACCCTCAAGACACCAACATCCCCCTCACCACAGCCTCCACTCTATGACCTCTGAAGCCAAATCAGACTGAGCCCCACCTGCAAACCCATCCACAGGATCAGTCTCCCTGCCCCTACCCAACGCCCACTGTGGCTGTGCTGGACATGCCCGGCCCTACCTCTGGCTGACAGCTTCTTGGTGTTGATGATCTTGGCTGCATACTCATGTCCGGTGCAGAGTTTGACACAGCGTCGGACCACAGAGAAAGCCCCCCTGGGGAGGAAGCAGGGTAAGAGACAAACACAGACAGGGAGAAAGAGAGAGCCAATTAATCTCCTACAAACACTCAGCATCTAGCCACTGGCCAGGCCTTGGGCTGGGTAGGGATCCTTTGGCCAGGGATCAAAGAAGGCCTGTGTCCCTCCCAAATGGCTCCTACCCCACCCCACTGGTCATCAGCAAGACAAGGGCCAACTTTTGGGGCAGATCTTGGAATGGAGGCCCTTGGGATACCACTCAACTTTAGCTAAACCTATGGACTCTGCTGTAAATCAGCTGGGATGAGGCTCCAGCCCTACAAACTTTCAGAATGTACCCTCAGGTGCTCCATACCAGGTCCATGATACCCTAGGAAGGCCAGGTCACCAGTTCCAGAGCCCAGGCTGTATTGGAATTAAACTGCAAGGCTAGAAGAGAGGGTCCCATGAGACCCTCCACTGTCCCTAGGTTACAGCATTGGTATAGAGTCTTGGGGAGGGGGTGACATTCATATACCAACAGCCAGTATGTGTCAACAAAATGAATCAGAGTTTAGGGGTATGGGTTAGAGACAGAGGCCATCAAGGGAGGCCCTGATTATGGCCCACAAAGGAATTCCTCTTCCTAGACTGGAGCCCAGGAAGGAGGAAGCCAAGCCCTGGTATACCAGTGACCTGTCTGTACTCCCCAAGTGCCCACCTCCTCTGACACCCACTCAGAGCACTGCCTCTGATGCCCCTGTGGCTGGGGTGGCCTGAGGGACCTGTCCCGCAAGGACCCAGGATAGAACACAGTGGTTGACAATGAACTTGTTTTCTTTTTTGGTACAATCCATTAAGGCGAATCTTTGTAAAAATGTACTTCTTGCTTTCTTGGGAAAAATAAATCTTCACACTATATCTAATTCAATATTTTCCAACTGACCAGGTTATTATGATCAGGGATGCGAGCAGCCACTGAGCTACATTTTTGTTTTGTTTTGAGATGGGGTCTCCCTCTGTTATCCAAGCTGGTCTCAAACTCATGATTCTTCTGCCTCTGCCTCCTAAATGCAAGATTTTACTGGTGTAGCCACCACACCCCTGCTGTACCTTGCTTTATAAATTCAACCAGGCCCCAGGGCCGCAGGGGCTTTCAGAAGGGGAAAGGAGGTAGGGAAGTCACACTACTTCACTCTGAAGCCTTTTGTTCCATTGGACATTTTTCACTTAAATGTGTCAGTTACATTCTCAAAATGTTCCTGTTGAAGAAAAATGTAAAGAGAGGGGATTGTTTTTGTTTGCACAAGTTTTGTTCCTGGGAGACAGCATGGGGAAGAAGATGGCCTGGGCTTGCTGCCTGCTCTGATTTGATCATCTGTCCTTCACTTCCAAAACCCTCCATGCACATCTCAGCCCCTCATCTGTACATCGGAGCAGAAGGGCCTCCTGGCACTAGGGAGAAACTTGCCCCACTCTTGCCCACTGCTCACCCGTGGACACTGCAGAGCCGAGAGCCTCTGCTCTGGCCCTGAACGGCCATTTGTACTGACAGCCCAGAGTGCCTGCAGCCTGGCTGGCAGCATCCCCAGCCAGGTCCTGAAGTGAGCTGGGCGCATGGGATGGACCTTACTGGAGGGCTGAGCCTCAGTGATCCACACAGCAGGATCACAGTCTCTGATGACCTGAGATGCCAGGCACTGTGCCCAGGTGGAGCCCACACATCCACTACCCCTCCTCCATTGAAAGAGCAGGCTCTCAGCTGATGTCCAGACCCCAGTGAGAATACAAGTAACAGCTGTGTGCCACAACCTTCCCCAGCACAAGGTGTCTGCATGGAACAAAATGATGGAGGCTTTCAGCAGGTGGGTGGGTCAGGGGCTGCCAAGGTCAAACACTCATTTTACTTCTGCAGAAGGCTCTGAAGCTATCTATCTTGGCATGGATCAGGGGAGGTGAACAGGGGTCAGTGAAGCTGCACAGCAAGGAAGGAGGCAGGAATAGGTCCTGAAGAAGGAAGAGATCAAGGAGAACTGTAAGTGGGGCACTGGGCTGCCCACCATGTGCCAGAAACGGTGGCAAGCACAGAATGGGGCAGCCAACTCTGTAGGTAGAGCCCAGAGGTAAAGGAGGCCTGACTCTTTGTCACAGGCCAGGGCAGTAAGTGGCTTTTGTGAGGAGGAGAGGACAGGGTCTCCATCCAGTGACCTAGATACCCCCAGAAGGAGAAGGTGGCTGCCAGGTGGTGAGGTAGGAAGGTCCTGTCACTGTGCCTTGCATCCAGCATCTCAGCCCCACCTCTTCTGTCCTTCCGAAGCTATGCAAGAACAGCCCCTCTCCATAAAGACCCCACCCTCCCACTGCAGGCACCTGGCTAGCAGCTGCTCACCCGTCTGTCTGTCTTCTCTTCTTCCCCAGAGGCACTTTTAGTTGCTAGATGTCATCACAGGACACCTCTGGGAAGGGCCTTGAGCACATTTGGCATAAGCCATGCAGGCCACAACTAAGTCCCTGACATCTCCAAGGACAATGACATTACCATCTTCCTGGTGGACCCAGAGCACTTTGCCCTCTAGAACCCACAATTATGGAGACAAAGGTCTCTGGTATACAATGTGAGTCTGTGCCTGCTGCTGCAGGGCAACTCCTGTACATTCTTCAAGGCCCTACAGAAAGTCAACATCCTCTAGTATTCTCCCACATGGGTCTCATGTAAGTTTCTCTCTTGATTAGAGTCATTTATCTACACGTTTCTGCCCCTCCCAGGTGGCTTTCCACAGGCAGGGCCCAACAAGAGCCTTAGATCTTGTTGCCAGGCACAGCATTGAACCTGTGACACAGGAATCAGAAATGACCAAAAAGTGGCACAGGTTGGCAGTGGACAATGGAATTGCTGGCGCTCGGGCCCTTGTGCAGCTGAGTGGTGTAGGATGAGAATGGTTACAAAAAAGTCAGTGAGAGAAGACTTGGCTAGTCTTTGGTGAGAGGGTCAGCAAGAGGGGCTCCCTATAGTATCCCTGAAGGAGGGGACACCTAGAGCCATCCAACACGGAGTGGAACCCACTGGAGGCCCAGCATGAGAGGCAACTTGCCAAGGCTTTCCCCTATAGGTAGACAGGCTTCTGGGGGATGGAAGCTGCACCTCTCTGATCAGACCCAGAGGAAACTGAATGAATAGCCTGGGACTCCATGTGGAGCCCATAGAGGGCTGAAGGCCTCTTTGCTTTTCCGGAAGCATAGGTGGGGAGGATGGGTGGCAGCTACATCAGGGCAGGGAAAGGGCCCTGGGCATCCCAAGCTGAGTTTCTGCTGGAGACCAGCCATGAACCTTGTCTGAACACCAAAGTTACCTGCGGACTGCCTGGTGTGGGAGGGAGGTCTTCCTCTGAACGAACTTAGTAGAAAGTGATTTGAGTAACTTGCTCGGATCCTGAGGTCCCCAGGCACCAAGCATGTTATAAGCCTTTTAAAATCAAATAAAGCTAATTAAAACAAGAAAATACTCTTTGAGTCCTTGCCTTGCTGAAGGCTCAAGAACACTGTTCATTTATAGCGGGCTCAACAGTACCAAGGAAACGGGTCCTGAGAGAGAAGAGGAAGAATTAGATCTGAGCAGGAGCAGAGCCCTGGAACCGCATGGCCTGTTTCTGTGAGCTGCCAGGGGGTTGTCTGGGAGCAGTTGCCTCCCCCAAGAATGAGAAATGCCCTGGCGGGGAGAGGAACCTATCTCTATAGACCACCACCCAAATCAATGGCAAGAAAGAGGTCAGAGGATGGTGCATCCACAGGAACCCCATTTGAACCTATTTTCTTCCCACGTCCCTTCAGCTCCTCCACCCTATGATAGACTGCTCCTCCCAGCTGCTGTTCTCAGCCCTGCTAGCCCTCACAGAAAGTCTGGCTCTGGATTTTTAAAAGCACTGCACTGGGCTGCCCCCAAACCACCTCCAGCAGAACCTAGCCCCTGCTGCTACCACCCATAGCTCCCACTGGCCCCTCCCACGTGGCCCTGTCTGTTTCACCAGGCTTTGCTCCACTTACTACAGCCCTCTCCAGTTGTGCCCACTGCCTTGTCATACCCACAGCTTTTTGGGGCGAACTTAGCAAACTGGTGCCCACAGTAGGACCAACAGAACAGCCTTCACAGCCCCACTCCTGCTGCCAGCTCTTGGACTGCCATTAGCCACCAGAATGACACTCCATGGCCCAGCCTGTCCCTCGTGTCCACAGCAGATCCTACTCCAGTCAGGTGCTTTTACCAGCTGCATGGAAGACTGGGGATGTCCACCAGTGAAGGAGGCTGGCTATCCTAGTCCCCTCTAATGTTTGGATAAAGTCAAGTGTGTAAATGCCACAGAGTGGGACCTGGCACCCAGAAAGTCCTGGCAAGGTGATTCTGATCCCAGGGTGGTGTGGACAGAGAACCAGGCTCCCCACAGCCGGCTGCCAAGCGCCCCTCACCCCAGCAGCTGCCCCTCAAGGTTTGGATTCTGAGTCCTTGGTGATTTCTGATGGCAATAGCTTCTTTCCTCTCTCTTCCCTCTGCCTCCATGCCTCCCCCATACCCTGATGCCCATAACATCCCACTTCCTCCTTGCCACTCCAGTCTTCCCTTCCTCTGCGCTGCGCCTCACCAGCCTGTCCAGGGCCCACATCAGCTTCCTATCAGGCCAGCTGTTTGTATAACAAAACCCGCCAACTGGACTTTGGCCCTCTCCTGTGGGCACCTGCAGTTGCTTGACAACGTACTGCATTTCTATTCTTCTGAAGGCCAGTCTCAGAGCCATGTCAGGTGCCTTGTCCATCCACAGAAGCGCTATGGATGAGTCCAGAGGTTCTTCTTCTGGGGAGCTGAAAGATGTCCAGGAAGCTTGAGTAAAAGCAAAGATCCAGCTGTGTTGACTTGTTTCTAAGTGGACATTTCCACTCAAGAAAGGACCTTCCACTCTGCAAGTGGGGGTTACAACTGTCCCCTAGGGACAAAAATGATCCTCTCTCCAGCAGATCTTCACCAGCAGATCTTTTTAGAATAAGCTG